TTTTTTGGAGAGGTTTTTGCTATAGGGCACGTGCACTTGCCAGAAAGACAGAGAGAGACAGAGAGATAGAAAGCGAGAAATCACCCCCCGGGGGGGAAGGCCACACCGCAATCCCTTCTCCTCCATTCTCCTCTCGGGATCTTGGACATGTACGCACACACACACACCCGGTGTGAATTTAAGCTGCCAGGTCCGGGACTCGAACCATGGTCGACTACATGGGAGTCCAGTGACACAGCCATTATGCTAACTGCTGGTCCCTGGATTCCAACCTTGTAGGGCACTTAAATTACTGCTGTCCTACAGTAGCTAGGCCTACATATTAAATATTTTATATTATGTTCCCCATTGTATCTATGGTACTTAACAACAGTGACTAGCATATAGATATTAATATTTGGGTAACCAGTGACTATGAGTGTATAAATGAATGAATGAAAAAGTAATCATAAATAATCTAATTTGACTTTGCTAAGGTGTTGGAAACCATTTAGCACATATTAAAGGATGCTACCCTTATGGGTTGTGCTAAATTGTTTTCTCATTTTTATGCTTAGAATAATTCATTGTTGAATGTGTGTCTTATGTGAATGTGTACATGAATGAAAGCAATAATTTAGAAAAATAACGGGGGCCTTCTCTCATTTGTCCTTATTTAATATACTCTGTCAACTCAGTGGAGTTTTAATTAGTAGTAACTATTGGGGTTAAAGGACATGCAGATGAACAATGAACGTAACTTGTTATATTTATATTCATTTTTTATTTATAAAAGGCCTGAAAACAACTACTATTTTCCGGATTTGCACCATATGAAGTATGAAATTGAGGATGGCACTACTCCTACTGGAAGGGAGCTACGATTTGGATTTGATCCTCTGGCATTTCCAGAGTTTAGTTGGAGAGGCTATGCCCAGATGACCTCCATACAGGTATGGACTCAGGGTAGCTTCCTGACAGAGTAGCTCTTACACTTACCCACAGCACTCTCAGTGAGTCCTCCAAAGACTGCCCTCAGATCTGATCCCAGGATTTGTTTTCTCCAGAGTACAGGCTGGGGTTAGAGTTGAGGTAAGACTTGAGGGGGGGCTATATTTTAACTGATAAGCATTTATTAGGATATAGAATTTGCAGCTTATTGTTACTTTAATTTGGCCACCAACATCAGAAAACAAAGGGATTAAAGAAAAATAGTGTCTATTTCTGAAGACTTTTTAGGAGAGGAGAAGAAAGTTTCCTAATATTAGACTGTATTATAACATAAGGACATTTTTCTATATAGTCATTTGTGGAAAATAAAAAAGAGTTCGCTTAAATAATTCCAATAAAGCTAGTTTGCTTATTTTTCACTGATACTTTTTTTAAGCTTTGAATTACTATGTGAATATAAACTAAGATAAATGGTGAGTTTTAGTGCGATTTAATTTTTCTTTCCCATTTAATTTTTTCCCATTTAATTTTTCTTTCTTCTTTCTGTCATTCTTTTCTACTGTTTATATCTCTTTTGGCTTTGCATTAGAATGAGTAAGGGAATATATGCACTTTTTGTTTTCTGTTAGAACTTATTCAATATATATGACTAGGAAATTCTTTTTTTTTTGGAGAGATTTTTTTGGCTATAGGGCATGTGCACTCTCCAGAAAGAGAGACAGGGGGGATGGCCATGCTGCAATCCCTTCTCCTCCATTCTCCTCTCGGGATCTTAGGCACGCAAGCATACACATCTGGCGTGAGTTTAAGCCACTGGGTCCAGGACTTGAACCATGGTCCACTGCATGGGAGTCCAGCAACATAGCCATTATGCTAACTGTTGGTCCCTATAACTAGGAAATTCTGTATTGTCATTGGGTTTTGTCTTCAGAATCTCTCTTTGAGTTTAGTGTCCTTGAGCTGTTTCTCAGTAAGGGAATTCAGAATATGGGGGTAAACTGACCACCATGGTAATACAATGTTTGCCATAGCAGATCCAAGACTAGTGCTTGCTATTTCTATTGCATTCAACCCTGTAGAGAAACTAGGACACGTTCATAGTTCTCTTGGTTCTCCCACTGGTTCCAATGCTGTTTTTGGACTGGCCAGTGTCTCTTATCTGAGATGCCTTTCCCAAATATCCAG